TCTGATTTTCATATTTAGGCCGAAATAAAAGCGATTTTAAAAACCATTGATTCGAAATGGGATTTAAAGTATGATGAAACTTTTAATAGCAAAAAAAATATCAGAAAGTGAATAGGTCTAATCCTAGAATTACGAAAGATCTTGGTTCTGAATTTTCGACCTTCTATTGACCAATTGATAACCTGGCTTTGAAGCCTCTATAAATCTCAATGATCGACTCAATTATACAAGCAAAGTGAAAAGGCCGTTATGGAATAACGATGATTACACGCAAATGGTTGAGTACATAAAGTTAGTGAATTCTGAATTTAGTATATTTTAATCTGAATTTTGATCTATTAAGTTTATTTAATTTTAATTTATTATTTCTAGAAAAAATTATGACGAGTAAAGACTGCTAAATGATTATTTGCAAATAATAACGTACAAATTACAAAATATAAAAAGCGGTCTTTATTAAAAATACTGACTGATCGCCTATATCATTTTTCTGAAATAAGCGAGACAGACAAAGATGACCCAGAATGAAAGGTACTCACTATATACGATCTCTTGTGACAATTGTTTGAGATTTACTATTTTTTTAAAAAAATCTCATTTATAAATTTTAGTAAATTACTAAACATTTTTTTATTATTTCAGCTAAAAAATCTCCTTGTAATGTACTCGACCAAAATGTTGCAATCTCAGTTACTTCAGCAAGAGCATAATAAAATTGAATATACAATGACCAGGTATAGCATTTTGACTAGCCACATCCTTCAAATACTTCTGAATGGTCTTGAATCAAACAACTAAACATATTCTTCAATACCGACGTCAAAAAATGGGTGAAGAAGAATATGTTACAGATAACGAAGAACTTGTCAAAATTAAAAGAAGGCAAACATCGGTGGCCAATAGTGACGAATTCTATGATTCTGATCATCTTGAGATAGATGAATAACAATGACAACCATCTCGAGATAGTAGATTTGATGACGACAATTATTAATATTTTTTTTTCTTTATTTTTTTATTTTATAAATGGAAGGGTAGGTGGGATATTTTAAGTTTTTTTATTTACTTTTTTTACACATTTTGTTTTATTTTTTTATAAATGGGAAGGTAAGTAGAACAATTTATTTTTATTTTTTGCTTATTTGCTAGTTTTTTTAATTTTAAGTCAGAAGCGATTGAATAACGATAACGATGATGATGATTTATCGATTACTACAATGATTTCTTCTTTTCTTTTTTTAGTAATTTGCTTATTTTTTAGTAGTATTTTCTATTTGCTTGTTGCATAATGAATAAAATTAATAAAAAAATATTATTTTCTGAAATTGTAAAATGAAATAAATGTAATCTATAAAATAAATTTTCATCTAAAAATCAGACAGACGATTAATGAATGATTGATAACTTGTTTTAGGCAGATTTTAGATAGATGATTGATGGCGATTGATGACCGATTGATATTTCTGATTGATTCATATTGTGTCAATCGAAATTAATGTAAATTGGTCTTAAATCAGCTATCAATCATTCATCAATCGTCTGTCTGATTTTTAGCTAATTTGTATTCATTTCGACCAATGTAATAATAAAATCAGAAGCTAATATAAGAAGTTTGATTTTTTGGAAAGCAAGTTTTAAGAATTTGAGATTTACTCTATCATAAACTTTAGAATGATTCTGAAGAAGAATCCAAATATCCTTTTTATTTTCAATAGAGTCTTCTAAAAGCATATTCATAATTTTAATAAGGGGGTTCAGTGGATCTTTCTGGTAGGGCTGCAAAGTTTCTGCTTCTCAATATATTATATTTTGCTAAGACTTTAGATAGTCTATTATTAAGAATCTTTATAAAACCTTTATAAGTAGTCTTGAGAAGAGTAATTAGTTTAGTTTTGGTAATATCACAATTCTAATTCATAGGTTTTGATATAGGGTAAACATATGCTATTTTCTACTCATTAAAAATTTCATTGAAAATAAAATACATACAGATTAATTGTTAAAGCAGATGTTGAAGATTACTTCCTAAATGAGATATCATTTTATTAGAAATACCTGATAGGCCTACAGCCAGTGTTGTACATTTTTGATGTCCCAAACATTTTGAGACTGTCTCACACTATGTCCTAAAATGTCTCACATTAAGTCCCAGTGTTCCAGGCCATGTCCCAAAAATGTCCCATGATAACACTGCTTACAGCTTTATCATTAGGAAGGCTTCATAAAGTAAAAATCCATTTATCATAGGTAGGAGGCTGCATTAGATTATTATATATATTTGAATTAATGTGTTCTTATAGTTGATATTAGTTAGTCTATCTTTTATTGTGAGGTCATTCAGCTTTAATCAGAAGGGTATAGTTTTGAAAGTGATTAATAGCTGCATTTTGAATTTTAGAGGGATCTATTGAAAAGTGTTTATTTAGTATTGGAGTTAGGAATATTAATAAGAAGTCTGTTTATAATGATTGATTGTTTCTTTCTATTTAAAATTGAGTCAATCATTTTAGAAGGGTTGGAAGATAAGTTATCACATCTTTGATTAATAAATTGTTTGATGGATAATTCATGTAATTTTTGTATTTCTAATTTAACAAGACCATGTAATGTTTTATATGTATCTTTGAGGTATGTTTTAATGGAAAAAATATTTAAATAATCGATAAATGATGGAAAATTAAAAGAAGGTAAGGCAAATTTTTTTGTAATTTTAATGATAGTATTGATAATATCAGTCTATATTTTATCTGTAAATTATAAATATTATTAAATAAATCTGTCTCTAAATTTGAAAAGGATAGAATTTATTTTTATAGTGACTATAGTGGCTTCAGATAATTCATAAATGGGAGTTTTTTGGTCAATAGGAAAGATCCAGATCTGTAGCATGCATTTTTTATTGAACGTGAGGATGGCAGTTTTAATCTTAATCCATAATTTATTCATATTAGTGAGAATAAGTGGATGATCTTTAAGTCATTTAAAGTTATGGTTGTTATAGAAGATATTAGTATATTCAGTGAATTTACTTTATTTTGATAGATTCATTACTCTTATATTGGAGACTTGTTATTTGTTTTGAGTTATTTTGGATCTGGCTAAACTTGGTCTTTTAATATCAGCAAAGTGAGCATAAACGATTTGATGATTAGAGGAGTAAAGTTTTGGTGATTCAATGTCAAAATATAGAAAATCAGAAATTAGATTGGATGAGGCAAAAATTGTATCAATTCTAGATTGGAAGAATTGATGATAAAAAGTAGGTTAGGTGAATTATAACAAACATCATATAAATCTAAAAATTGAAGGCAAAGAGTTTTTTATAAAATCAATATTTCCAGAGGAGGGAAGTTCCATTATTAATATGAGACCAGTATTTATTCAGGTTCACATTGAAATCACTAAGAATAATAATTTTAAATTGATTTTTAAGCTTATCTTTAATTTAATCAAGAATAAGTTTATGCAATTGTAAATATTCAGATCGATTTTTAGCAATTGCAGAAGCATGTAAGTAAACAGTAAAGATTCTAAATTTGATGTGACTAGGCAGAAAAAGGTTTAAGAAGATGAACCTATTATTTGATAGAAAAGAACATAATGTACTTAGCTCAGGAATGTTTAACTATTAGACTAACACCAGCTTGTATATTGATTGAGATACTTCAAAAAAAGGTAATTAGAATTATGTGAATAATAATATGATTGATCAGATTTATGTCATATTCCTTGTAATCCAACAAAATTAGTATTTAAATTGAGGAAAGTGTCATAAATAGAAATATTTTTGTGTTCACATTAAAGAAATTTAACATTATATGTTGCGAAAGAAATAGTAGGGGATAAAAGAATATTATAGGTAATCTTATTATTATAATTGTTATTATTCGTATTAATCATGATAGAAGCTGTATAAGAAGTGTAAAATTATTGTTGAGCTTGTGAAGTTAAAGCTATAAGTTGAGCTATCATTTCTTGCATTTGAGATCGTTATTCTATAATAATGGCTTTTTATTTATCTATATAAATCTAACTTTAGGATTAATCGATTTGGAATTGAAGTAGTATTTTCATCAAAAGAAGAGAAAGTGATATAAGTTCATTTGTTAGAATTAGATTATAAGAGGTATTAGGAGATGTAGGAATAATAAAAGTTGAAAGAGATGTATCGGGAGTTGAGAGAAAGAGTTAAAATTTTTTGAGTTTGGCTATATAGAATTATAAGTCAAACATTGCCTTTTACATACCAGTAAACATATTAAGAATCTTATCAAGTTTTACGTTAGTATTATTATTCTTATTAGGATTGTGAATAGAATCATTTACAGAAAAGGCTTTTGGATTAAGATTCTTATTCTTTTCTTTGGTGGCATTAGAGTTCAGTAGATTTGCATTTATAACAATATTTTGCTTTAGCAAAACACTATTAAAGTTCATGGTTATCAAGAGCATAAGGAGTTTTGATTGTATTTTTCAATTCTTCTTTAGATTGAAAGTAAAAAATAGTGAAGGAGTGAGATTTGTAATTATTAGATTTGGGAATATAATATAATTTTACTTTAGTAGCAAGGGTGCTGTCATAGAGGTCATGTAAGGAGGTATCAAAGGATAGATTAGTCAATTTAATGTGAAAATTATTTCTTTGTTTAATCTGTTCAGGGATGAAACTTGCAAGATAAATTTTAACACAGTTATTGTATAAATATCTAGACTATTGTTCATAGAACAATGCAATATCTTATGGCTTTTTATAAGTAATATAGGCATGCTGTCACAAACCTCATATTTGCATTCTGATATTGATGATATTACCATATTTGGAAAAGAAGGATTTAAGGGTGTCCTGTTTCATGTTTAGGTGAATATTAGTATATGCTATTGGAATTGCATATTTCTTTGTATGCTGCATATTTAATGAATTAATCAATTCCTAAATCAGAAAATTTTAAGTTGATAGCAGTGTATATTGTATCTTTGTTATTAAAGTACAAAATTGCAAATCAAGTAAGATTGACATGTCTAATATTGATTCCTTTGAATGCGTCATCACTAGCAAATTTTTCATTGATAGTTTTAATGATAGTATTGGTAAGGAATTCCTTGGCAGTTTTATTAATAATAATAGCATAAGTGAAGGGTGTTAGATGAGGAATAATGATGAAGTCCTTAGTATCAGTATCTATGCTATCTTTATTGACAGAAATAAATTCATCAGGGTACATAAGGTTGGAAGGCAAAGTTTATTATCCCTTAGATTGTCTAGCAGGCAAATTTGCCTGCGAAATTAAAAATAATTGTTAATTTCTTTATAAAATATTA